ACCACGTGCGCGCTATTTGAGCCATCACGCACGCGTCATCCTCGTTGTCATGTGCGGCACGCTGCGCCACGCCACGCCACGCCATTTTCTGCGCCGGCTTGGCTGGCTTGGCTACTGGGTGCTAAGGCACTGTTTGTTTTTTTTAAATTCTGAATCGCGTTAAATGGTCATAAATAATTTGTTATAGCTTTGTTTTGAGCATGGTTGGTACTATTGGACTTAGAATTGAATTTTTTATCTTCTGTGAAATTTTCAAAATTTTATGAAAATAAAAAATATTTTTCCTGAGATAATAATTCGTTATTTCTGCTTTAAAATGCTTCTGGTGTTGCATGACTAATTTTCTGGGGTTGAAATTTTTATTGTAGACTACTGCAAAGGTTTTTTATTTATTGGTATATTTTTTTTCAGCTTACCAGATTCTGGAATATTTATTTCTAATTTTATGTGTGTTTATTAGTTATTTAAAATTCTAAAAAATTTCAGAATGATGTGCATTCTATTATGGCATAATCTGAATATTAAATACAACATATTATTTTTTTTAGGGTTTGTAATATGTTGTGATTAGAAAAGCATGCTTAGTTTTTTTTATTTATTTAAATTCCATTATTAAATGAATATAGCATGTATAAATTTACATTAAGATGCTATTGTATGGAATTTATCATGCTTCGTATACGCCATAAGTAGTGGGAGATTGAATTTTTTTTTTTTGGCACATGGAATTAAATTAAATTTTGATAATTGTCACTAGAGGCGCAAGAGATGATTACGAGCATAACAAATTTTCGATCTTGAGACATGTGTAATATTATCATTATTTAATTTAGATTTTTTTTTGCTGCAAAATAATTTTTTTGTTGCTATCATTAATATCCCCTGCGCATTTGTTTACTCTGTATATAGAAATGGCTGCTAAGACAGTGGTGGCAGAATTAACTAAAGGAGAGAAATTGGATGGCGACAATTATGACATATGACACCGTAAGATCCAATACCTCCTCAATGAGCAAGAAGTGTTGACCACACTTGAACAAGTGATGGTTGAGCCAGAGCAGGGCAATATAGTTGAACATCGTCGTGATCTTGAAGTCTTTCAAACTTGGCGTAACAAAGATCGGTGTGCGCGCTTTACCATGTTGAGCAGCATGCACAATGACTTGATTAGTGAGTTTGAGCATTGCCCGACTGCATTTGAGATGTGGAAAGCTCTCAAGCAAAAGTTTGGTATTACCCCTTTGGCAAAGCTACGTGGGCTGACTATGAAGTTTGACTCCTATTAGAAAAGGGCGCATCACTCGATGAAGCAGCATTTGAGGGTCATGTCAGCCAAGATATGTGAGCTTGCGGCTGCTGGGCACAATTTGACTCAAGAGCAGCAAGTACAAGCTGTGATTCGCTTTCTGCCAAATTCTTGAGAGCAGATGAAGTAGAACATGATGCATAATGAGAGTGTGAAAACATTCGAAGACATATCGTGTCATTTGGAGCTAAAGGCTGAGCGCCTTTAGGCGGTGAAGTCTGATGGTTCTGCTATGGTGGTTGAGTCGAGCTCATGTAGGACTTCTCAGTTCAAGTATGGAAAAGCAAAAGGTGCCCCTAAGAAGCAAGCAGCAGTTGCACTAAAGCCCAATGGCGCTAGAAATTTCAAGCGTAGGGGCAAGAGAGGTGGCAAGAAGGTAAAGGCTAAATTGACATGCTTTAACTGTAACAAAGAAGGACACTTCGCTAGGGATTGCCCTGAGTAGAAGAAGGTACTCCCTTACTTAATTTCTCGCATTCAATGCTTTGTGTCTAGTCAAGCATTAATTGCTCATTCTCCTCATTTTTGGGTTGTAGACTCCGGAGCAACAGACCACATCGCGAGGGACAGAGTAGGGTTCGTTGAGTATCGTCGAGTACCTGCTGGGAGCAGAAAAGTTTACATGGGGAACGAGTCCAGTGTGGAGGTGCTTGGCATAGGCACATTCAAGCTGGAAATGCGACGAGGGCGCACCTTGTATCTTCATGATGTTCTTTATGCTCCGGATATTCGGCGAAACTTAGTTTCAGTTATTAGCATGATGAGCCTTGGTTTTAGCTTTTGTTTTGAGAATAATGGTGTTAGCATTTATTTGGGAACAATTTTTTATGGTTTTGGTTATCTTTCAGATGGTTTTTTAGTTTTGGATGTGGATGATTCTAGTATCAATAAAAATGCCAATGGCTCTATTTCTAATATTGCATCTTTTTGTGATAATGATTCTATGAGATGGCATGCTAGATTAGGCCACATAGGGCAAGACAGGATGACTAGATTGGCTAGAGAAGGTCTTTTAGGCCCACTCGCTAGAGTCACTTTGCCTACTTGTGAGCACTGTCTTGCTGGAAAGGCAACAAGGAAATCGTTTGGGAAAGCCAAAAGGGCATCTATCCCATTACAACTTATTCATTCTGATATATGTGGACCAATGAATGAAGGGCATCAGTCCCATTGCAACTTATTCATTATGATATATGTGGACCAATGAATGTGAGGGCAAGACATGGAGCCCCTTATTTCATCACATTTATAGATGACTGCACGCGTTTTGATCATGTTTATTTGATTTTTCACAAGTTAGAAGCATTGGATTGCTTTTCTCACAAGTCAGAAGCATTGGATTGCTTTAGATGATATGTTAATGAGGTTGAGAATCAATTAGACAAGAGCATTAAGGCTCTAAGGACTGACCGGGGACGCAAGTATCTATTTGAGAAATTTAAAGTGCTGTGTGAGGAAAAAGAAGTTATCAGGCAATTGACAATTCCTGGGACTCTGCAGCAAAATGGTGTAGCAAAGAGAAGGAATCGTACATTGCTTGACATGGTTAGATCTATGATGGCGTAAGCAAATCTTCTAATTTCTTATTGGGGGGATGCTTTGTTGATTGCTGCCTACGTCCTTAACCGCGTGCCTTCCAAATCAATTCCTTCCACCCCATATGAGATGTGGACTGGCAAAAAGCCTGATTTGGGCAATTTGCGATCTTGGGGTTTGGCAACTTACATACACAACGCTTCTCCTAAGTTTGGGAAATTAGGCCCTAGAGGAAAGAAGTGTATCTTATTCGCTATAGTGAGCATTCTAAGGGCTATGTGTTTATTGGGGAGCATCCGGATGGAAGTGTGACTGAAATTGAGTCACGAGATGTGGATTTCCTTGAGGAGGATTACCTTAGCAAAGGTGAGGTAACTAGAGAAGTAGAACTCTATGAGATGGAGGATCTACTTGAAAGCGCACCTAGTAGCCTAGTAGAGAATGAGGAGATAATCCCTCAAGCTCCTAGGGACAGTGGAAGTGATCTACCTGCCCATGGATTAGATCCAATGGATGAGGATTCTCAGGATTCTCAACTGCGTAGAAGCAAACGTGGAGCTATACCCCGTCATCGTTTTGAGATTGAAGGGAAAGCATTCATGATTGCTCCGAGTAATGAGATGGAGCCCAAGAATCTCAAAGAGGCTCTCTCATCCCCTGCTAGTAAAGAATGGAGTGCTGCAATGGATGACGAAATAGAGTATATGAAGAAAAATCATGTCTAGGACTTGGTTGATTTGCCGCCAGGGCGCAAGACTATTGGAAACAAATGGGTTCTCAAAATCAAGCGCAAAATGGATGGTTTCATAGAAAGGTATAAGGTTCGCCTAGTGGCAAAAGGTTACACCCAACGAGAGGGTGTGGACTATGAGAAAACTTTTTCACCAGTTGTGAGGTTTGCCTCTATTCGCCTAATTTTGGCCATAGTAGCTCAGTTGGACTTAGAGCTATATCATATGGACGTTAAGACTGTATTTCTCAATGGAGAATTGGATGAAGAGATCTATATGGATCAACCAGAAGGCTTGTGGTAGTAGGTTAGGAACGCAAAGTTTGCAAGCTTCAACGATCTATTTATGGCTTAAAGCAATCATCCAGACAGTGGAATCTGAGATTTTATCGAGCCATTGTTTCTAATGGGTTTACGATGATCGATGAAGATCACTGCGTGTACGTTAAGCGATCTAAGGACATTTTTTCTGATATTGTCATTATATGTAGATGACATATTATTGGTTGGAAATGACAAGGAGATGATTGTCGCCACTAAAAGGTGGTTGTTCTCTACATTTGAGATGAAAGACATGGGTGAAGCGAGTTATGTGCTCGGTGTTAAGATCCATAGGGATCGCTTTAGGATACTTCTTGGTTTGTCTTAAGAGACTTACATTAAGACTATCCTAGAGCGATTCCAGATGCAGAGTTGCAAACCCAGTGACACTCCTGTTGCAAAAGGCAAGTGCCTAAGCCTTGATATGGGTCCTAAGACTCCAAAAGAGAATGAAAAGATAGCCCGTGTTCCCTATGCAAATGCTGTTGGCAGCTTGATGTATGCTATGATGTGTACACGCCCTGACATTTGTTATGCAGTCGGATTGGTGAGTCGTTACCAATCCAACCCAGGACCAGCTCATTGGAAAGCAGTTAAGAGGATATTACAATATTTCAGAGGGACTGCAGATTACACACTTTGCTACCAAAGTTCAGATCTACATCTAATTGGCTATTGTGATGCTGACTGGGGAAGAGACTTAGATGAGCGTAAGTCTACTTCAGGATATGCTTTCATGCTTAGCGATGGTGGTATTTCTTGGAGCAGTAAGAAGCAATCCTGTATCGCCTTATCGAATATGGAGGCTGAGTTTGTGGCTTGTTCATCTGTTGTTCAGGAAGCCGTTTGGTTGAGGAGATTCCTTCAGCATTTGGATATTGTCACACACACTTCAGATCCTGTGACTATCCATTGTGACAGCATGGCTGCACTCGCTTACACTAAGGATCCTAAATACCATGGGAGAACCAAACACATTGATATGAGGTTCAATTTTTATCAGAGACATTGTGGCGCAGAAAGAAGTAATCCTGAAGCACATCCCTACGAGTTGCATGGTTGCTGTGACGCCCCATTTTTTTTTTTGAAGTATCAAGGGAAATTAAATAAACAAAATGACTTAATAAACTAAAAAGTTGACATCTTAACAGGGTAATCCAACTCTCGTACATAACCAAACGTCCAAATAACAATAGATAAAAACTTAAAATTATCCAAATACAACATTAAATGAAATTATAAAGTCCTTAATAGCTATTATATAAAATAATATAATTTATTCGGCTCTACTCGGGGTTTCAGGTAAGCCAAAGCTCTACGTTAGCGTCGACTCCATTTCAGCTTCAATTATTTTCTCGCCAAGACCTGGCATAAAACGCCAGGGCAACAAAAATATATGCCATGAGTTTTGCAACACAGTAAGAAACACATAACCAACCTACCATTCCTTTTAAGAGAAAAATAATGAGATTATAAACATGAGATGACAATATAATTGTAAGCATAAATTACAACCATTAAAATAATTTCAATAATTTTAATAAATTAAGTGACACTCGAAATCTCACCAAATAGATTTAACTTACCAACCACTAAGCATGGCAACGGTTAATTTGAAACCCTCCCTTGGTCAAATATTTTAGTGTTACCAACCGTAACTACCAGGGATGCCCACGTCCGGAGTTACATACCCAAGTAGTAGCATCCGTGGTCTGCCCCAAGGAAACGGTCTGCCAGGGGTACGTAACCTCCCTGTGTGCCACCAGTACATCCACCCTTATTCCAAAACCAAATACCGAAAAGGGTTCAAATAAGTCCCGTGCCATCTTAGCGTTTCGCAACACAATTTATGTGAGAATTCTCAAAACCAAGACTCACCCTGAACAACCGGTATTAACCGTTAATCCCTTGATTTCATACACTCTTTAAAATCAGAACTCACCCTGAACAACCGGTATTAACCGTCAACCCTTAATTTCGTACACTCTTTAAAACCAAGACTCACTCTGAACATCTAGTATTAACCGTCAATTGTTAACTTTGTATATGCCGTTAATCATTTCAGTTAATTTTGATATTACTCACAAATAATTCCAATTTTTTTTTTTTTTTATGACAGTTGATGTTATACCAACTCATTAAAATTCTCAACATAAAATATTACACATATCACACAATAATAAACCAATGTACAACATTTAAATAAACAATTTATTTAAACCATGGTATGAAATAATAATTTAGATACAGAGCAAATAAACCAAAGTCACACGTGCTTGGATTTTTAATTTACAAGACTAGGCTACCACAATATTAAATAAACCACAATACACCCATACATGGATTACTAATTTACTATATTTGATGAATTGGACCAACACAATAACTGATTTTTATCCGAATAAATAATTGAAGTCATGATCTTAAACCTGTCTAGAAATTTTCAGGTTATACCTTAGATAATAAAAATTATAAATAAATTATTTATACATTTCTAAAATTCGTGAAAATGTACAGAATATTCAATAAATATATTTGGGTCATTTTTCAGAAATAAATTCCCCAAAAATAAGTTATAAATAATTTTGTAAAATTCCCAAAAATTTTATGACACAGATTTATCACATTTCCTTAAATTAATTCCATACTTAAATTTTATAAATAAATTCCATGATCTAAAAATTTATTATGAAACTAGACTTCTCAAATTTCATTTTTTGCTTAGAAATTACCAGATTTGGTTTAATATAAAATTTTTAATGATTTTTCAAACACATAATAAAATCTGTCTATAGCTCCAGATTTGGTTAAAAATATGTATAAATTCGTACAAAACTCAATAATTATTGAAAAATTTTGTGGATGAACTAGACATCATTATCAACAACTTTGTAGAAGAAATAATCTTCAAATTTTGAGTATAAAATTGTCTAAAAATTAGTACAACTGCAAGTCTAAATCCAAGATTATATCATGATTTTAAGGCTACTAATAAAGAAATGACCTTTAAATATTTAACATACCAATCACAAATTTACATACAACTATAAACAAAATTTTATCTAAAGTTTTAGCTATGTTAACATATGAACACAAATCTAACTATTTAACAATTAAAAAGAATAAGACGGTTATGAGAGTTTTCTTACTATGTTAGGTTGTTAACGATTTATCGTCTGAATTTGATTTATGATTCTGATCGTAAGATATGATCGTCCTGGCTCCATGATCGTCTTGTTGAAATTTCACATCAATCGGACGCGATCTCACCGTTGATCTGCCATTGGATTCTCGTAGAACTTTTAGTTGTTGATCATCATCTTAGACTTAGAATTTGAAAGATCTAACGCCAGAAATGGATTCTACACGTCGAAAAACCTAGAGGTGGTCATCCCCAAAGTCATAGGACCACTCGATTAACCTAAATGTGCTAGGATGCACCGTAGCACCATCAGCCGGGAAACACTGGATAAAAATTTAGTTCATCTTCTCCAACCGCCACAGCATGCACGACCGAGAGACCCAGAATTTTAGTTTCAATGTCACCGGTTCAAATGCTTGTATCTTCTTCATCGTAACTCCGTTTTATCTTATTTTTCTGTCATTGGATTCACCTCACGGCCTAGTTTTTGGTTCACTACTCACACGCCTCGTTCCGTCTCTTTTTGCATGCCGTCGGATCTCCAAAATTTGACCAAAAATAAGATTATTTTCCTACCGTCTCGGACATTTTTTTCGAACCATCTTTCGGACCCCATAACTTTCTTAATTCTTAACGGTTTTACTTCATTCTTTCGTCAATCTCTTCAACTTACTTCGTACTTCATCTTACATGGCCTATTTGTCTCACTTCTTCCCTGAATGGATGGTTTTGGCATGCCGAAAGTAAGCCGAAAACCAACTTTTGAACTTCAAAATAAATTTCTCTAACTTTGTTTTTTTCTCCTCCATCTTCTTTCTTCTTCTCTTTCTTCACCTACAACACTTTGTGGATGGTGGTTCTAGATGATAATAGAAATAGGTGATGGTGGTGGTGCCGGTCCGACGGTGCGCCAATGGTGGTGAAATTCGCGGGTTGGCGATAGTGTGGGTTGAGGCCATGGCTATGGAGGTTGGGGAAGGAGGAAAAACATAGATAAAGGAGAAAGAGAGTTTTGAGAATGAGAGATGGAGGGAGAGAGAGAGAGAGATAAAACGGATAGAGAGAGAGAGCTATGCAATTGGAAGAGAAGCAAAATGAGGAAGAGTAAAAGAAGATAAAAACAAATGAAAAGAAATAAAAAAAAAGAAGAAGAAATTGAACACTTGGTCAGCATGTTCACCTCGTTGTCTTTTGATACATAAGATGATTACACGTTGAAGGTGGAATGCAAGAAAACTTGGGGTAGCAAACCCATGGTTTTTGATTGGGTTTTAGTATAGAAAAGTGGTCTGCCCCAAGGAAACGGTCTGCCAGGGGTACGTAACCTCCCTGTGTGCCACCAGCACATCCACCCTTATTCCAAAACCAAATACCGAAAAGGTTTCAAATAAGTCCCGTTCCATCTTAGAGTTTCGCAACACAATTTACGTGAGAATTCTCAAAATCAGGGCTCACCCTGAACAACTGGTATTAACCGTCAATCCCTTGATTTCATACACTCTTTAAAATCAGAACTCACCCTGAACAACCGGTATTAACCGTCAACCCTTAATTTCGTACACTCTTTAAAACCAAGACTCACTCTGAACATCTAGTATTAACCGTCAATTGTTAACTTTGTATATGCCGTTAATCATTTCAGTTAATTTTGATATTACTCACAAATAATTCCAATTTTTTTTTTTTTATCACAATTGATGTTATACCAACTCATTAAAATTCTCAACATAAAATATTACACATATCACACAATAATAAACCAATGTACAACATTTAAATAAACAATTTATTTAAACCATGGTATGAAATAATAATTTAGATATAGAGAAAATAAACCAAAGTCACACGTGCATGGATTTTTAATTTACAAGATTAGGCTACCACAATATTAAATAAACCAAAATACACCCATACATGGATTACTAATTTACTATATTTGATGAATTGGACCAACACAATAACTGATTTTTATCCGAATAAATAATTGAGGTCATGATCTTAAACCTATCTAGAAATTTTCAGGTTATACCTTAGATAATAAAAATTATAAATAAATTATTTATACATTTCTAAAATTCGTGAAAACGTACAGAATATTCAATAAATATATTTGGGTCATTTTTCAGAATAAATTCCCCAAAAATAAGTTATAAATAATTCTGTAAAATTCCCATAAAGTTTATGACACAGATTTATCACATTTCCTTAAATTAATTCCATACTTAAATTTTATAAATAAATTCCATGATCTAAAAATTTATTATGAAACTAGACTTCTCAAATTTCATTTTTTGCTTAGAAATTACCAGATTTGGTTTAATATAAAATTTTTAATGATTTTTCAAACACATAATAAAATCTGTCTATAGCTCCAGATTTGGTTAAAATATGTATAAATTCGTATGAAACTCAATAATTGTTGAAAAATTTCGTGGATGAACTAGACATCATTATCAACAACTTTGTAGAAGAAATCATCTTCAAATTTTGAGTATAAAATTGTCTAAAAATTAGTACAACCTTCTGGCAGATTTAAAGGGCCAAATAACATCTTCAATCATCTTTTTAATGGCATAAACTACACATGCAAGTCCAAATTTGATGTACCACCATAAATTTTCATACAATTATAAATAAAATTCTATCTACAAGTTTAAACAGTTTATCATATGTATATAATTTGAAATTTTCAAATATATAAAAAAAATGAGAGGGTTGAGAGGGTTTTCTTACAATGTTAGGTTGCTAACGGTTTATCATCCAAATTTGATTTATGATTCTGATCGTAAGATATGACCGTCCTGACTCCATGATCGTCTTGCTGAAATTTCACATTAATCGGACACGATCTCACCGTTGATCTTTCATTGGATTCTCTTAGAACCTTTAGTTGTTGATCATCATCTTAGACTTAGAATTTGAAAGATCTAACCCCAGAAATGGATTCTACACGTCGAAAAACCTAGAGGTGGTCATCCCCAAAGTCATAGGACCACTCGATTAACCTAAATGTGCTAGGATGCACCGTAGCACCATGAGCCGAGAAACACTGGATAAAAATTTAGTTCATCTTCTCCAACAGCCACAGCATGCACGACAGAGAGACCCAGAATTTTAGTTTCAATGTCACCGGTTCAAATGCTTGTATCTTCTTCATCGTAACTCCGTTTTATCTTATTTTTCTGTCATTGGATTCACCTCACGGCCTAGTTTTTGGTTCACTACTCACACGCCTCGTTCCGTCTCTTTTTGCATGCCGTCGGATCTCCAAAATTTGACCAAAAATAAGATTATTTTCCTACCGTCTCGGACATTTTTTTCGAACCATCTTTCGGACCCCATAACTTTCTTAATTCTTAACGGTTTTACTTCATTCTTTCGCCAATCTCTTCAACTTACTTCATACTTCATCTTACATGGCCTATTTGTCTGACTTCTTCCCAGAATGGATGGTTTTGGCATGCCGAAAGTAAGCCGAAAACCAACTTTTGAACTTCAAAATAAATTTCTCTAACTTTGCTTTTTTCTCCTCCATCTTCTTTCTTCTTCTCTTTCTTCACCTACAACACTTTGTGGATGGTGGTTCTAGATGATAATAGAAATAGGTGATGGTGGTGGTGCTGGTCTGACGGTGCGCCAATGGTGGTGAAGTTCGCGGGTTGGCGATAGTGTGGGTTGAGGCCATGGCTATGGAGGTTGGGGAAGGAGGAAAAACATAGATAAAGGAGAAAGAGAGTTTTGAGAATGAGAGATGGAGGGAGAGAGAGAGAGATGAAACGGATAGAGAGAGAGAGCTATGCAATTGGAAGAGAAGAAAAATGAGGAAGAGTAAAAGAAGATAAAAGAAAATGAAAAGAAATAAAAAAAAAAAAAGAAGAAATTGAACACTTGGTCAGCATGTTCACCACGTTGTCTTTTGATACATAAGATGATTACACGTTGAAGGTGGAATGCAAGAAAACCTGGGATAGCAAACCCATGGTTTTTGATTGGGTTTTAGTATAGAAAATATAAGGTTTCAATGTAATTTGATTACCAAAAAAATATAGAGAAAAATATAATAAAAATATCATACGGTTCAGAAATTAATATTGAGTAATAATATAAAGTCAAAAATATTTTATTTTATTTTATTTTGAATAAATTTTCAGTATAAAAATATACAGACTATTAAATTCAAAATATTGTGAATAATTATTTAAGAAAATTAAAAATATACATATTATTTTTATTATATAAAAATACGGGGTTTCACAGTTGCGGACCCTTTGACTAAACCCATTGCTAGAGATGTTTATCTTACTCATGTTAGAGCTTTAGGACTACGTAGGTGATGATATATATATGTGTATTCAGTTGAACTCATATTTTTTTTGGGATATTGATGCCATTAGTATTCATATTTGTTTCTATTACACATTTATGTTTACTACTTTTTGCAATGGTTTGTGAATTAGCATACACAGAATAAATAAATTGATGTTAGCAGGCAAGATTGGCTCACTCACATAAGCAATCGCCCTTAGCACTAAGTAGCGAGCAAGGATGAGACTAGTGGCTTATTATATTTGGAGCAAATAGAGAAGCTAAAATTATCCATTAGCTATGACGCCTTGGTTGGAGCCAAGATGAGGTCTTGTTAGAGTCTGACCATGGATATGAGAGTACCCACTTTTCCATGATTTGCCTGTTATGGATAGCCAGATATGAGATCTCATTTGATGCCTGAGAGACGAGCAAATAGAGAATTTGAGTTAGATGCTAAGAAGCGACTTGTGCGCTTAAGAGCGACTAGACTAAGATATGTATAGTGTGTGAGTTTTAACATCACTCTTTGGAAGAGTTACTCCACTATAACATGCATTCGTACTGCATGTGCTTATCGACCCGTTAGTGAGGTGAAAGAATAGATCCCTATTTCTTCACCGTGTGAGTCCTAAAAGTCATTTTTCCCTAAATGATTTCACTTTGTGCCTTTTGTGACCTTTGACTATGTCATAAGAACTAGACTAAGATCTGTATGGTGTGTGAGTTTAACATCACTCTTTGGAAGAGTAACTCCACTATAACATGCATTCATACTGCATGTGCTTATCGACCCGTTAGCGAGGTGAAAGAATAGATCCCTGTTTCTTCACCGTGTGAGTCCTAAAAGTCATTTTTCCCTAAATTATTTCACTTTGTGCCTTTTGTGACCTTTGACTATGTCATAAGATGAGGAGTTGATGTTCAGCTACTTTGGTATGTTGCCTGCGGTCATGTATGATTCGCTTTAAGGGACATTACTGGGAAAGCGGTCAATTTCAAATTAAATTATATAAGGGTGAAGGGAAGATCATCTAGTTCTACATCTCTGCTCTATATTCACTGTCGACAACTCACATCGCTCTCTATGGGATACTGATTGGGTGTGAATATAATGCAGGACCTAGGAGAGTCAAACATGCTCTTTGAGGGATTAGAGATGTTTTTTGGACTGATGTAGCTAGATGGGTCTGGGTACATGAGATACAATTTCTGTTCATTTTGGGTTGATGTCTCTATGTTGACTCATATTGACTTTCTAGTATAGAGCTCCCACATGCAGGTGTTCTCAACGATCACACGATGCATTGGCTAGTATGAGATTGTTCATTTTCGGGGAGATTGAGATAGAGATGTGGCAGTGTCATGCCAACTCATGTGCGAGTGGAAGATGTTAGTAATGGGCGCCCATGTGGCATGACCATTAAATTTGATTTTGAATCCTTATCCAAATAGGTTTTGAATTTGAAATCAAACCTATTTAGGATAACCACTCAAGATACAGATGAACAAGTGACCCTCTCGCGTGAGCATCCCTGCTCGCCTGATCAAAGATCGGCCTCTGCTAACCATGATATCGAGTTTTGAAAACATTATGTGCTCTTATTCTGGTTATTAGCCTAGATTTACTACGTGATGCACACAGCATACAAGTCATGCTATTCATGGCAGCACTCACACGCATGCAAGGATGCTAAAGCATAAAACTTACCTAGTACTCCAAGCCAAAACAGACATTCATTAGAAATCAATGCATGATCTTGAGTATACAGAAATGCCTAATGCAACACATGCAAAAATGCAAACTATAGCAGGCTCGGCTATTCTAAGATGGTATATGAAATGCTACAGCTAACATGTATTCAATTTGGAATTGAAAGTACAATGCAGTTAGTATGATGCGCCGAGCCCGGTGCATGCAAAGCTAATGAATGAATGCAAACATGTTGTCATACTGTATGCTAATTGAAATATGCCATAATCTAACCATCATAAGCGGATAAATAAAAGGGAGAAAGACGTGGGGTTGGAAGACATACAACACACACACGCATACTTATTACAGTTGTATCCTCGCGTAGAGGGTCCGAATAAATAATACAGTCCGAATATTACAGTCCCGAATAAAAGAATATTACAGTCCAAAATATTACAAAATCCTAATTAATTAACAAATTAACTAAGAAAATAAATAAAACTGGCATGCAAGCCAGGGACTGCCTTGCTTCTGATGGATGATGCATGTCCGGGTTGTCTTGCGCGGAAATCCACCGGAATGCCCCAATTAGCCTCTGTTTACACCTGTTCTTGAAATGCGTGCCAAGCCCCAAAAGGTTGCTGATTCTTCGTTTTGCTGCAACAGAGAGCAGGAAAGGGGCATAGCAATGTATTTGCACAAATATACGCATGCCTCGATCCTCGTGCCACCAATCATGCATACCGAGGCCTGATGGCCGAGGAGTCGAATTGCACAATTTAATGTAGGATGAATGCACAAGAAAACACAACAAAACCTAACTCCATCATAGATGATCCGGAGTGTCGGTGACTGGGAAATTGAGACACATTCCGTCACTCGGAGTACGAAATGCACCTCGTTTCCCGTGCCCGGGCTAACTCCTATCCCGAGCACGATGCAATATGCATGACATGCAACTAAGATGCAATCCTAACATACACCATGCTATGAAAATGGGATGCCTCGAAATGCATGCACACAGGCACGCAAACCGAGAAAATGACAGAATGCAATCTAAGATACAACCTAGTGTGCACTATGCTGTAAAAATGAGATGCCTCGAAATGCGTGCACACGGGCGCGCAAACCGAGGCAATGGTATATGCAATGCAAGTGACTAAAATGGCATGGAAAAGGTAACATGGACTTATACTAACATGAGAGAGCCTCAGCCACACTCACATAAGATGTCGATTGATGAAAATGAAGTGCCTCAAAATGCGTGCACACGGACACGCAAACTGAGGCAATGGCATACGCAATGCAAATGACATGAAAATGTGATATGGGCTTATACCAACATGAGTGAGCCTCAGCCACACTCACATAGGATGCCGGTGGTTGAAAATGAAGTGCCTCGAAATGCGTGCACACGGGCACACGAACCGAGGCAATGACATACGCAATGCAAATGACATGAAAATGTGATATAGGCTTATACCAACATGAGTGAGCCTCAGCCACACTTACATAGGATGCCGATTGATGAAAATGAAGTGCCTCGAAATGCGTGAACACGGGCACGCAAACCGAGGCAATGGCAGAATGCGATGTAATGACATGAAAACATGATATGGGCTTATACCAATATGAGTGAGCCTCAGCCACACTCACATAGGATGCTGGTTGTTGAAAATGAAGTGCCTCGAAATGCGTGCACACGGGCACGCGAACCGAGGCGATGACATACGCAATGCAAATGACATGAAAATGTGATATGGGCTTATACCAACATGAGTGAGCCTCAGCCACACTCACATAGGATGCCGGTTGTTGAAAATGAAGTGCCTCGAAATGCGTGCACACGGGCACGCGAACCGAGGCGATGACATACGCAATGCAAATGACATGAAAATGTGATATGGGCTTATATCAACATGAGTGAGCCTCAGCCACACTCACATAGGATGCCGGCGGATGAAAAATGAAGTGCCTCGAAATGCGTGCACACTGGCACGCAAACTGAGGCGATGGCAGAATGCGATGTAATGACATGAAATGGATAGCAATCATTCTAATGGAATTTCAGCACTAAAATATGGGGGAAAACAGTCCCGAAATGAGGCGAAATGACACGAAATGCATGAAATGCAAAGACATAAGCTAGGCAGTCCCAAAAAAGGCACTTTCACAGTTATAAACATGGCCAAACAGCAAGCATAAGTAGGGCAAAAATGGCATGCAAGAATAGGGGCCAAGAGAGGGGTAATGAAGCAAGTGGTATAAGCAAAATCCAAACTGAAAAACTTCCTTCTAAAACATTGAAGAGGGACCAAAAATATGAATGTTTACAGTATATGGCAAGCCTCGAATCAATATACAAACATGCTAAAAAAAAGGCACAAAATTGAGGCTTAAAAGGTACTATAACATGAAGTATA